AATTCAGCAACAAGCCGAATTTCACATCAGAAGACGTTTTGAGGCAAGTGCCGTCTTATGTGGACGGTAAACGTCCGTTTTGGCTTTCGCCTCGACTGAAGAAACATGGGTCAACGCATGATGCTGATGATGAAAACGCGGAAGTCGACTCACATTCCGACGAAAATATTTGAATAGGCAAAAAAATACACTAAAAAAAACAGGATTGTGCTGAAGAAAATTTAACAGAAGAAGTGGCTCGAAAATAGTTTTTGAGGTGCTGATTTTTATGTGAAAATCAGCCAATCATCTTGTGAGGCAAATGATTTCAATTGATGCTTGACTTGAGCCAAATGCAGCCTTGAACCTGTTGAGGTCATCTAGACCTGTTGGTTCAATTCATTTCGTGTACACAAAAATGTTTGCAGTAATTGTTGGTGCCTCATGCAATGAATTCTTCATACGGTTGTTTTTTTTTCATAAAAAAAAAATCCACATTTCCCCACAAAAAATGACGCAATAGATTTCATCCCATGTGGAAAAAAATTGGGATCTTTCAGGAAAAAAAATGAAAACCGAGCAATTCTCCGAAAGAATAATCTAGAGCGGATATTGGACAAGCAAATAAATTCGAATTTCAGTAATTTGAGGATGTTGTATAGTGGTAAAATCCTGACATGATATATCGTAATTTTTCCTTTCATTTTTTGCGGGTTTCATTTTGCTCGTTTGAAGACTCTGTGAGCGGAAAATGTCCAAAATGAAGAATTTGTTCACACTGAAAAGAAATTTCAGTGTCACTTTCGATTTCACTTCCAATTAAAGTACCATTATTTCTTGACCCTTCGCTTGAATACAAATGCGTTAAATATGTCCTCCCCAGCATGCGTTGTTTACAAATGCACTGAGAAATGTGTCCCATGCAAAAAACCTTCCCAAGGAAAGAATGATATAAGTTTTTCGTACGTATAAACTGTATGACGATCCATGTATTTATCCCTTCTCCACACTAGTTTAAAAAATCATACCAAAATGTGTTAACATCCGCTGAAATCTGAATTGATAAGGAACTTTACAGCAAATCCTTCGACATTATTGTCAACAAACCATTGAAAAAATACTACCGTAGAAAGTTTGGAACCCTTTCTCCCTACTTCACAGCTTCAAAGGATTTTTCAGAAGATTTTTCAGCAAAAAAGAGCGAAAGAAAATATACAGTATTTGAGATTTAAAAAACGCGCTGAATATTTAAATCTTTCACTATCTCTTTTTGAAACCTATTTATATTCACATTGCATTAAAATAAAAGTCACCGGATTCCAACTTTTCCTCGCATCGATTTTATTCCGACAACCCTCAGTGTACTGCATAAATGTTTAAAATGAGTTGCGTATTTTTAGAAATTCTACAGCAGTGACCTTCCCGCTGATGCGTCCTGCAACGTATGATTCTTTTTCGAAAAAATAGGTTCAATTTTGACAAAAATTACTACTCGACGAATTATTCAATAGGAATGTCCTTCGAATGACTCAATACGTAAGATTTATAGGTTATACGTCGTCACTTCAAAGCTATGCTTCCTCAACAATTTGACCCTTTCTTCTTTACAATTCCACCTTTTCCGAGCATATATATACGGTAAAGTTTGCTGACACTGTTGAGAATTCTTTCCGGTCAACTATTCTTTAGTCTAGGGTCATAAAGCAGAGGAAAATTCATATTCATTGCTTCTATAACGCGGGTTCTTTGTAGAGGAGGTTCAGCACACGGAGACCAGCAGGTTGATGCATATGCTGCAAAAGGTTTCCAATATTCCCATGGCTATATGATTCAATAAGAAAGCATGTTCCAGATGCTCATCCAATATTCTGCACGTGACAATTTAATTCCAAAAATAAGCCCTTGCGTATAGGTTTTGTTCCGAAACCCGGAAGATTATCGCGTCAATAAACCCCGAACGTATGGTTTCAGTTGATGGAGAAAAATTGTATTACATCTCAATACCACGCTCCGATGAAAAATGCACTTCTACATATATGTGCGCAAAACATATTTCGGCTGACATTTATTGCCATTATGCATGACAAACATTGTTCCCGGAAGCGGGAAATTTCGGTTGATCCACGCGTGATTTTTCTCAATACACACGAAAGTAATGAAGAAAAAAAACACGCGGTGTTCCGTGTTGCGTATTTTCAATTATGTGCGTTCATCTTTTCGGCAATAATAAACTTAGGAAAACCTTAGTTTTTTCTGGAATATTAGAGACATTTTTTTCTATTTTCTATTACAACGAAGAAAAGGAGTTCGGATCAAGTATTGAATTTGTGAATAAAATCCAAGCTTATTCTGTGAGAGTTCAAACTTGAAAATTATTGGATTATTATTATCTGCAAAGAGCATTCTTCATCACTGCAGATAAATAAATGGAGAGTAAATTGGATTATAATTCGCTCATCTGCAAATAACGCATAGGATTATTTTCGCACAAGCGCCATTAAATTGGCCAATGCCTCAATAATTCATCTACAGTCTTTCTATACGACCGAGAGAAAAGCCGCCTGCATGATGTCAATTATCTTAATATCTTCTACAAGAAATGTGAAAGAATTTCGTCATTTTTACTTTGAAAACGATCAAAATTTCCATTTTAAACTTGAATGTGTGAACAAGCATCTGGCGAACATTTTCTCGGATTTTCTTGTATTTTAAGAGAGAAAAGAAGGGTGCTTCTCAGATGTTTTATTTATAATGCTTTATTTTGCCTAAAAATTCATATCAATTATTTGGCACGTAATTGAACAATAATTGAAGGATATAATTAGAGAGAGGGGTGATGGGGTGGGGTGGGTGGTACGTCGACGTCAGCTCCACTATTTCCTCGACGGTGTCGAGTCGACGTCGGCGCCTGCGGTTTTCTCCGCCCACTGCATTCAATATAGCGGAAAGAATAGATTAGAAAAAAGTGTGGCGCCTGCGAGGTAGTCTTTTCGGCGTTGCAAATAACCGTGCGAATCCCTGTGATCGTGTGGAGGGCAAATCGAATCGAATTGTGAAATAGAAATAAATTTTTCGTTTCGAGAGGATGTGAATCCTCGTTCTTAAAAATAGTTGCTGCACTTTCCGAGAAATTTCCCAAATGTATTACTCAATTTACTCGTCGATTCTTCTATCGCGTCATTTTTTCTTTATCCCACTTCGAGGAAGAAATTTATATTGATTCATGAACATTCGATGAAATCCCTGTAAAATATTGAAAAAGTATTTCAATCTTTCTCGAGCGTGCCCAGGTTCTCATCAAGATATTCAAAAAAAAGCAACAACATTACAAAAATATAATTTTGAACCAATTTATGCCAAAAAATATTCTCACGTACGAATTCGACATGTTGGGATATGCTGTATTTTTAGTCAATTTGTTTGCTTCACAGAAATTCGCCGTTTTCACAGATCCGAAAAACAGTCGCAAACATAGGTTCTGTTCCTTCCTCTCATTAGATTGACAAAATCTCGAAAATCATACTCAAAAAATGATTGCCTCAAGACAGTGGACCGTTTTAGCAGTCGCTGGAATCGTCTTCCTCGCTGCAAACTGCTTCGGTAAGTTAGTCCATCGTGATTTATTCTAGCATGCATACTGACATACTGTACAGTATTATACTGACATGCCTCGAAAAAATATATTACGATACAGGGCAAACACATGCATGTCATAGAAAAAAAAACTTGCACAGAAAATGCATCAGCATGCGATACAGTATTTGAAGCATAATCTTGACTTGATCTCGTATTAGTTGGGTATTAGTTAAATTCGGACGTCGGAATTTGGTGAGAACCGAGTGGGTTGCCGCAGATTTCCTGCTGAAAAAGATGAGACCTTCACGACGATGAAGGTGATTTTAACATTTCTTCCATTTTAAAAATCTCTTAGCCTCCTTTGAATAATTTTAATTGAATGAAAACGCGATTCTTGGGAATTTTGAGCGTTTTTAGCTCAATAAAATCAAGCCTTGGTTCAACGAAGACGAGTAGCGCAGAGTAAAATTCCGTGTTTTCATTACAACGCGTATATTTTTGTTTTGCTTTGCTATGAATTGTTGATCAAATTGTTTCCTCGGGGTTAAGTGGGAAAAAATTAGAAGCCCATGATGCCGAGCCATTATATATAATCAGGCGCGGCTTTTCAGCGTTCGTTATGAAAGTTAATTGATCCCAGAGCAGGTTGTTTGAGTTGCATGATTCATTCATACATTCTATTTCTTCCTCATCATCATCATTCACATTTCATCCGCGTCCCCGACTTTCATCAACACACAAGCAAGAAGTTTTCATCAAGCGGCTGCTGTCACTTTTGCGAATGCGTCAGACACGCAGCTCCTTCCATAAATATATCCCTGGAAGACTTTCAGGTCAAAACGGAAACTCATTATACAGCCTAACTTTCCAGATGAAATTCTTACGCACACACAGACACACACAAATACTAAATTAATGAACTGGTGATGAGATTTTTGTCCCTCGATTCTGGTGGCGGTGAAACACTGAAGGCCAGTCGCTGATTCCAGGCCCGAGGTTGGGACGCCGTTCCGGGCCTTCGGACCAATCGTCCCACTTTCCTGGCCCTGGTAAGAAAAAAAATATTGGGTATTTAATTTAAAAATAAACACGGGACTCTGGTGAGTTTGAACAGTATTCAATGAAAACAAGGTCCTATACCTCAATAAAGCACCACCTGCTTAAATCTGGTCAACAGGTGAAATAGTTCTCGCAGCTTTCGAACAAACTGAAAAATAGACCCCTTTTGAATATTTCCTTGAAGGTTTACTGAAAATATTGCTATCAAGAAACATCGAGACGTAAACTGCGTCGAAAAAATGCTGATAAAAATCAATTGCCGACCGAAGTGGGAATTGAATCACCTTTCTTGAATTATTCCCATCTTTTTTCCTCTCTGTCGACCTGCGTTATCGTGATTGCCTTCGTAAAGGAATATTTGAGAATTATTCTGAATTTATTGAGTTTGAATGCAATCTTTCAGCTCTTAAAAATAATATGAAAGAATACTTGATACATTCAGTTGATTAAATCCTTATTTTAAGAATATAAACAGATGGTTTCTCCTTCCTGATGGGGTCCTTTCTNTCAGACACGCAGCTCCTTCCATAAATATATCCCTGGAAGACTTTCAGGTCAAAACGGAAACTCATTACAGCCTAACTTTCCAGATGAAATTCTTACGCACACACAGACACACACAAATACTAAATTAATGAACTGGTGATGAGATTTTTGTCCCTCGATTCTGGTGGCGGTGAAACACTGAAGGCCAGTCGCTGATTCCAGGCCCGAGGTTGGGACGCCGTTCCGGGCCTTCGGACCAATCGTCCCACTTTCCTGGCCCTGGTAAGAAAACAAATATTGGGCATTTAATTTAAAAATAAACACGGGATTCTGGTGAGTTTGAACAGTATTCAATGAAAACAAGGTCCTATACAATAAAGCACCACCTGCTTAAATCTGGTCAACAGATGAAATAGTTCTCGCAGCTTTCGAACAAACTGAAAAATAGACCCCTTTTGAATATTTCATCGAAGGTTGACTAAAAATATTGCTATTAAGAAACATCGAGACGTAAACTGCGTCGAAAAAATGCTGATAAAAATCAATTGTCAACCGAAATGGGAATTAAATCACCTTTCTTTAATTTTTCCCATCTTTTTTCCTCGCTGTCGACCTGCGTTATCGTGATTGCCTTCGTAAAGGAATATTTGAGAATTATTCTGAATTTCTTGAGTTTGAATGCAATCTTTCAGCTCTTAAAAATAATATGAAAGAATACTTGATACATTCAGTTGATTAAATCCTTATTTTAAGAATATAAACAGATGGTTTCTCCTTCCTGATGGGGTCCTTTCTGTGGGAATAATGCAGGCCAAAAAAATCTCAGATACTCGTATGCGTCTTCCTGCTATAGATAAAATTATGTGAATCATATCACCATTATGTGACTCGTGAGCATTAATAATGTTTTCCAAGAAAGACTTTAGATGCAATTCTCGATGACATTAAGATGACGAGTCAAGAAATAATTCCCTAATCAAACGTGACCCGAGAAAATGTTGACTCACTCGTTGAGTCCTGATTGTTTTCAGCGTCATTCACCTGCTTCAGCCAGCTGACAAGCACTTTACCACTCTGCCTATTTGCGGAAAATTTTCTTGGTGATTCGAAAATGCGTATATTCCTTCATCGTTGGGCGAAATGGACGGAGAAATAATTTTTGCAATCTCAAAACTGTTTTGTTCTGCAGCTTTCCAGGGTTCATCTCGGGATCATCTTGTATCATATGCCGGAGATTCCTGAAAATATTTCAAAAATCCCCCGAAAAATCAATAACTGCGTTATTTAACTGAAGCTTTTAAAACTACGAAAAGAAAACTGGAGAATATTTTGGATGGTTTGAGAAAAACCGAGTCTTGGAAATATTTGCAACCAATCCACAAACTTGTTTTAAAGCCTCTGTTGGAAGCTTCCATTTTTTAAAGATTGTATTGCAGGGTTGTCTGGAAGTTTTTCAAACATTTTATCAACTTGTTTTCAGGGTGGCGAAGATAAAAAATATATTACAGAATCAGCAGAATGAAGGTTTCCTGTCCCAGTGACCGGTTACTTTGTTGATAATCTGGAACGATTTTTTGCTTCGATGACGGATTTTGGCTAAAATCCTAATCCATACTTGCCTTGTACTTTATAAGAAAAATCCCGGCTTTTTGATGAATCCTTCAATTAGAAGATAATGGCTTTCAGAAAGCTTGTAAAAGAGTCTTATTTTGGATTGTGTCTGAATAATCCTTATAGGCGTGGAATGAGTCTTCTCATGAGCATGCGTTTGTTGTAGGTTTCTAGTTTTTTAGAGTCATTTTTCTAGGTAGAAATTTTGTCGGTTTTCCCTTTCAGTGTTATGAAAAAATATGATTTGCTAAAACTTCGTTACATTCGTATCGCAAATGAAATTTTTTGCTTGCCCGTGGAATAGAAATAAATTGGAGGCTGGCACAGTTGAACGAAATTCATAACACCGCGTCCAAAATAGCTCGGGTTCACAAACGAACAAAAAATCATAGAGCTGCACAACAGTGAGTCATATAAGGTGTTAGAAACTTCTTTTACTGTTAGAAATTTCATCTATGAGAATACGTTGTCAAAGAAAAAGATGCCACAGCAATCAACCTAATCTAACTGAATTGAAAGCTTACCTGAAATTAAGAAACTTATTTTCTTGATTAGGACCTTCCTGTCTAATGATACAATTACAATATAGCAATGATCTTCAACTGTTTGGACAAACAGACTGGCAAATTTCCATAATTTTTTGTAGACCAGAAAATTTCCCTTAGATTGTTTGCAAAACAGCAAAGTTCCATAAAATGTTTGCAGACTAGCTAGCAGAAACATTTTCAAATGCATGCCATGAAATTATTTCAACCAAAACCTCTATTATTGCGAAAATTAAGTTCAGAACCAAAATCAGGAAGCTGGGCTTCAAAGAAGGTTTCTCAGAATGATTACTTGAAATACAGTAATTTACTGTACTTCAGTGGGTGAAAATTTGTCTGTCGTTTTTTTAGGGCAAAAATATTTTTTTTTTCATTGGATACTTTTAACAGCCGTTTCTTTCTTACATTTCTGATAAAGATAACAGGCTTTGTTAATACCTTTGATAAATTCATCATGCTAAAAAAAATGTACTGAAGACTGATCAAAAGCTTCTGTGGACCATTGGTGGTCCATGGACAATTGGTTGCAGTCCACTGCAATAATAGACCACTGTTCTGAACAGGTATATACAGGTGGAATATTTCTACAACAATCTTGTCTATGCCAAATTTCTTTGTACAGTATAAAATTTTTTTTGTCCAATAAAAAAGTTCACTCCACACATTTGATGGATTCTCTACAATGAGATTCTCTCTACCACAATTTTTTTTGTCCCTTGAACTTTGTTGTAGAAAAAAGTCCATCTGTGTATATGAAAGCACTTTGGAAATTTGCTGTTATGGACACACACTTCTATCAGTATGCAAAGCACTGATTTTAAAATTTCATGAGCAAGTGCTGCTTATAATACGTGCGCTCTTTTGGTACGCGCTGCTTTGAGCATGCGCTCTTTTGAGCACGCGCTCTTTTGTGACGCTTTTACGATGGATGACTCGTCAATTACCCTGCAGCCTCGTTGACTTACGAAGACCTGGCGAGTCTGGAAGCCGCCAACTCCAAGCGCCACATGCTGATTCCATTCCCCAGGATGGGCAAATCCGTCGCCGGTTTGCCAATCGCCAGACTTCACTACCCCATCTACCAGACACATTCCTTCTTCGTTGACCCAGCCACAATCGGCGCCGCTCTGGACGACGCGGCCTACGAAGACCTCGAATTGACCGACCTGGCTTTCGACGCCACTGCTGCTGCGGGTAAGCGTGCTCTCTGGCTCGGTCCTCGGTTGGGGCGAAAAAAGCGACACTCGGCGTCGTCCATCATCACTGCGGGGTTCCTCAAACCCAAAAAGCCTTTCGGTGAGGTTGTTATGAAATGAGCCACGCTGATGACGAGCACTACTTGACTGTTGTTGCTGGAACACCGTTTCACGTCTGCTGTGTGCAATATTTGCAGGCAGATATATGCGCTGCCGAAATGAAAAAGAAAAAATTCACTGTTGCACCTGATATTGGCTAATCGTCTGCAACTACGGCACGGGAGTAATAATTTAAACAAAAAAACTGCCCGCAATCTTGAAAATAAAAATGCACGCATTGCAGATTTTTATTATTTTTTTGCTGCAATGAATATCGAATTTCGTTGGTGACGCACGGAAAACGGCGATTTAACGATTTTATGATGCAGCAGGCAAAAATCAGAAATCCCTAATAAAATATTTATAATAAGTCATTCCTTCAACGATGACAAACATTGGAAATCAGGAAGAACTTTGAAAAGGAAACAAATAAGGTAGAACGACCCACGTCATATGCAGCTGATTCGATAATTAAAATAATATTTTGTTTATGACGCGTGAATGCGTGATTGAAGCTGTGGAAAAAACTTGATATGCCCTCAAAAATCTTAAAAATATCAATATACAACTAAATTAATCGGTGCATATTTGCAGAATCTCCATCAAATGATCTCCAGTTTTTGAAATCACGCGGAGAACTTATTGGAAGAAAAAAAATCAAGTATCTTATGTCCGATTCAGACGATCTGAAATTCTACAATGATACAAGCGTGCATAAAGTATCGTCTGTACCTTTATGCCAGAAATTTAGAAGAAAAAGAAGAATGTACTTCATATCCAAGTTGAGATCACAGTAATGCGCTTTTGGGAATAAGTTTTCTCTTGATTCATTTTCAAAAAATGTTGGTGATGCGCATATATTACACAGGAATAATCGCGTGCTATTTCAATAAAACAATTCAACGATTTTTAAAAACACGGGATCATAAATTATAAATATTAGTGGAGCACTATTATTGTCAAGCATTAATCATTGTCAAGGAGAAAATTAATGTTGCTGATTTTACGCAGGTTGAAGTAGTCTTTTTTCAATATAATTTCCAAAATCGTGATTTAAATCTAAGCATTTTTTTCTGGGATAGGAAAGACTTTCAGAAGGTGTCACCTTCAGAGTCAAACATTTTGAAAATTGTCTGGGCTTTTATATAACATGTAGACATTAAAACAGTGTAATAATTAAAACATTATCACACCTTGCTTCCCTTGAAACCTTTGCTCAGCCAAGGATTTGTTTTCACCTATCTTCAAGGGTATTCGAGTTGTTCTTAAAGTGATCATGAAATTCCTTTTTGATTTTAGTCTGAACGGTAAGTTGAGTAACAGCTTTTTTCATTCCACAGGCATCTAGTTATTTTTCCAGAGAGATTGATGATGAAGGTACTGATCAAACTTTTCGCGTTGAATAAGAAGTTTGCAGCTCGATTTTGAAATGATGTAGGGCAGCTGTATGATTCTGAAAGGTGGAAAGTACTGCATTCATCGAGAATTTTTGGGCCAGTCGTGTGTTGTCACCTCTCGTAATTTTGAGTGCACTCGAAACGACTTTTAACCTTTGAATTTAATTTTGTTTGAAAAAAAAGTGAGACACAAAACTAGTTTCTACTCCATGTGTACGCGTGTTGAAGAGTATGCATTGAAAGTAATTTCACCAAAGTTTGTAAAACAAATAAACAACCTCTTTTCGCCCACGAAGTTTCAAGAAGATTATTTCCCTCGGTCTTGATAATGCAAGCGAAAATGCCGCAATATAAGTAACTTGATGATATTCATAATGAAACCTATAATGGGGAAAAATTTATCTGCTGACCTGACGAAGTTTTCTGCAAAGTCGCAATATTTGAAGCCAAGGGTTCTTGACACAATTTGCGATTGCTTCTAATAGAATCAACTCTGCGTCGCATCTTTAGTCAGAATTTCGGATTACCAAGGGTTTGAAAAAGTTATGAAATCGGTCACAATTTTCAAGCCATTCCATTTCTCAATACTGCAGTTGACAATTTTAAAGCATTGCAACTGTTGTTTGGAATTTTGCAAAGAGTTCTAAATTTTGCGTATTCGTAAAACTAAAACGATGTCGGACTCTAGCACTGCACCAATAACTCACTGTGCACATTTTTAATGCGCAACTCACGTCTTTATTTAAGCATTTATTTTTTTCTGCTGGTTGCTCAAATGTAATAGCACTAATAGGTTTGTTTCCTTCTTTAATTTAGGAGCGGATTAAATTCAGAATCTCAGGAATTATCGTCAAGAGCATAAAATAATCAATTTAAAGGGCAGATTTTTCTCAGAATTTTAAAACATTTGGTGCTGAGACATTAAGAAACGTAAATTCGTTTTGCGAACTATCATCTTTAATTTATTTTTATTTGAGTATTTTCTCAGGATATACTTCAAAGATTGTGGAAGCTGGCTTCAATAAAGGCTATACCGACTCTATTTTTATGAATATACAAATTCTTCAGTGTTCAGAATTTGGAGGTTCAAATGGGTGAATGACTCATTTGTGCTCAAAATGGCTTCTAATTTCTCTCCTGCAAACATATTTCTTCGGAATTTCGGAGTTCAATTCCTAAATCACTATTTTCCGCTCAAAATAGCTTCCAATGGTTCTCCTAGAGAAAAAAAAAATTATGTTCCAGTAAAACGCGGTACGTAGTCTGTAATTACATGTAAATTTTATCTCCAATTTTACCCAGGGGACATTATTTACCAAGGATATTTTCGTGGAAAATATACCCATGCGCAGAATGAACTCATGTGCTACAATAAATGACGCCAAAAACAATATAAAAATTAACATTCTTGATTTTCCCACTTTCTTTTTTTTTTTTACCGGCCCTGGTTGAAACGAATTGGAATCAGGAGCTGGACACGTGCTGAAAAGGTCCCCATTCGCGCCGCGTCTGGGCAAAAAGCGCGCCAGTCCAATTGCGCCCCGTCTCGGCCGACCCGACCCAATCGTCCGCTCGCTCTATTCTCCGCGAATTGGCAAGGACCTGGAAATCAGCGAGAAACAGCAAATGGACCAGCAACAGAACAGCGAGGTTCCCGCCAACCTGAACAACAACAACAACGACATGGAGCCCAGGGACTTGTTCATCCCTCGTCTCGGCTAAGAAGACTGTTTTATGAGCTACTATGAATAATGATAATAATAAAGAGAAAGGAAGAAGCTACGAGAAATAGAGCATTTTCCTCGCCCTTATTTAACCCAGACTTTCATGGTACAACACAAACCAATATTTAAATCAAGGGAGAAAAGATCCCTGTTCTTTCAAAACCCACAGCAGCAGCGACTCTATAAATCATCTTCTTTCACGTTGACCAAAAATGTAATTTTCATGCGTGAATATTTCATTAAATGAAGTTGTCATGCGATTGGAATTTTACACGACTCAAGTCTTGTCATTCTTGCATCTCCCCAATCATCATGATAAATTCCTTTCAAATTTGTTGAAATCCCCGCATTGTGTAAAGATATTTGTTAGCCTTCGCCTTCCATACTTTTTTTGGAATTTACTTTCCGTTTTCTACCTAAAGATACTTCTTCCTTTACATTAATTGTGTTTTTCAGTATCCTTACGTAATGTAAAAGTGAACAAAAAATAATCTCACAGTATTTTCGAGAGTTGTAAAAGCTGCTTTTCTGTGACAAGAAGAGGAAAAAAAACAGTTATAGTCCCATCTCAACCAAGCAACAAATATGTCACCTTTCCGTTTGGAATATTCTCGGAATTCTTACTTCATTTAATTGTAATTTCATGCAATATACTGTATATACATATGCTTGTTATCCAAGGAATAAAGTTGGCGGTTATCCAAAAGCAAAAGGCAAAAAAAATATTGCATGTTGTAAAGGATTGCGCAGTTTTTCGGCCGGGGAAAAAAATTGAAAAGATTGTTGGGCTGGCGAGCAGGCTCACAGACGCTTTTTAGGTACGGACTTTTGCTATGTTTGAAGCTTAACTTTAACGACTCTCTAGATGTTTTTACTTTATGTTGAGTACTTACCTCCTTAGTGTAGAGCTAAGTAAAGAGGCTGCAGTAACTTTCATTGATTTTCGCGAAAACCCGTAAACAGTATAAAAAACGTTACAGCAAAATGATCTTCACTTTGAAAATAAGAGGTGATGATGCAATAATCACACGGCTTTTTACAGACCAGGTAGGTGACTCCGAAGATATGTATGACCTATCTTTTTAAATCTTCTCTTGACCTGTTGCCATTTTGCTTCAGCCATATAAAATCCTCAAGATATGGTGAGAAATAACTTTTACCAAGTCTTTTGGTTTATCTTTTGGACTTGCTTTTCTTTTAAGTTTCGAAATTCGTATAATTGAATTCCATACAAACGCAGGACCTCTTCATCGATAAGAAAAAGTTATTTTTCACACTGAATTCTAATTTTTCTCGAAATGGAAATAAATTTCAAACTTGAACGGCACAAAATATAACCAGCCTCTGTCCATTCAAAGTTTCCAAATCAAAGCTTCCGAAATGAAAACGGAAACCTTTCTGGAAACATCAAACAAATTAAGACTCAGTTTACCTGAATATCTTTCCAAGTAATCAAGTCTTTANTTCTATGAAGAAGGAAATGTAATTAACACAAAAAGTCATAGGAATGCATTACATTTTCTGAACAAAAAATAATCTCACAGTATTTTCGAGAGTTGTAAAAGCTGCTTTTCTGTGACAAGAAGAGGAAAAAAAACAGTTATAGTCCCATCTCAACCAAGCAACAAATATGTCACCTTTCCGTTTGGAATATTCTCGGAATTCTTACTTCATTTAATTGTAATTTCATGCAATATACTGTATATACATATGCTTGTTATCCAAGGAATAAAGTTGGCGGTTATCCAAAAGCAAAAGGCAAAAAAAATATTGCATGTTGTAAAGGATTGCGCAGTTTTTCGGCCGGGGAAAAAAGAAAAGATTGTTGGCTGGCGTCGTCCGAGTGTCTGCGAAAAATCCATGCCTGAAAACGATACAAACTTCGAATTGAAATTGCTGAGAGATCTACAAAAATGAAATACAACTCATGAATGGAGGAATCACATCTCGATTCATTTCTCCTTGCAGTAACTTTCATTGATTTTCGCGAAAACCCGTAAACAGCATAAAAAACGTAAACAGTAAGTATAACCAGCGAAATGATCTTCAGTTTGAAAATAAGAGGTGATGATGCAATAATCGCATGGCTTTTTTTTCAGACCATCAGGTGACTCCGAAGATATGTATGACCTTTATTTTTAAATCTTCTCTTGACCTGTTGCCATTTTGCTTAAGCCATGTAAAATCCTCAAGATATGGTGATACTGTAAATCATTTTCACCAAGTCCTTTGGTTTAACTTTTGGACTTGCTTTTCTTTCAAGCGTCGAAAAATTCGTATAATTAAATTCCATGCAAATGCAGGACCTCTTCATCGATAAGAAAAAGTAACTTTTCACACTGAATTCTAATTTTTCTCGAAATGGAAATAAATTTCAAACTTGAACGGCACAAAATATAACCAGCCTCTGTCCATTCAAAGTTTCCAAATCAAAGCTTCCGAAATGAAAACGGAAACCTTTCTGGAAACATCAAACAAATTAAGACTCAGTTTACCTGAATATCTTTCCAAGTAATCAAGTCTTTAATCATCATCAAATAAGGTTTTATTTTTTAAAGGACCAGAACATTCGGGTTCACGTCCTCCTTCTACTCCTTTCCCCAGTTTTTAACATACAAGAGCACAAGTTCACATTATAAAAGCATATAAAACATTAAAAAGTAGACTTTTGCTTGTTCTGCACCACAGTTCCCGCGGCTCTGGTGTACATATATATACACACACCCACGGTCAGCAATAACAAATTAGTTTACAACAATATACATATACGTGTGCATCAAACGAATACACCACGCAGAAAGAAGCCAAATCAAAGCTCTCATTCGACCCGCCCACGCAATCCCAATAAGAAACCCGCAAATTGACTCCTTTCACCCCCAAAAACGGGAGTAATTCTCTCTAATTATCTACAATAAGCAAAACAGAGCTCATTAACCCAGAAGCAAAAAGAAAAGTCTACGTGTATATATATATAGGAAGCATATCCTGGTTTTCTTTTCATTGGTCTGTAAATAGAGCTCCCGATGAAAAGAAACGAACAGAAAAAAAGAGGTGAAAAGGACGTGTATAGAAGAATGGACTTGAATGGAAGGAAGAAAAGAATATACGGATGAGTGAAATAGTGAAGCCAGGCTATTCAGAGGCGCGTCAGTGAAATACAGGGCTCGTTAGGAGAGACACGGAAAAGCCCCTGAGGGGGTCAGGTCATCAGTAAAGAAACCGATCATGACTTCCTCTGCAAGTTCAAGCCCACGAATTCCTCGGGCCTCACAGAAAATCATTTGAATGCTTTCATACACTGTAGCAATAGCTGATGAGAGGACAGTAGGTTGTATCAAATCAATACTACTGTATTTGAATTTCAAGAATTGGTTTTGCTTGTGATAATAATACTGTAACACTTTGGAATATCGCGTGGCTAAGAAAAAATCGAGTATTTTCAGAACTGTAAAAAGCTGTACAAAAGTATACTTTACTTGACAACTTAAATCACCTATTCGGCTATTCCTATTGAAAATCCCAAGAACTTACGGTACTCCAAAACCTCCCTGAAGGATGTCGCAATTATTTATTTTCAACAATTCATTCCCTTGAATTCTTCCATTAAACTGGAACTGCAAAATTAAGTTATAGATGCTTGTGTCAGTGTTGAAAATCGCATTGCGCTTAACCAGAGTTAGGAATTGAATTAAAATCAAGAAATAGATTATTAATGCCCTCTTTGGTTTGGGTTGGTGTAACAAGTTCATGCCCATGAGAACAAACTACTGTCGTACTCAAGATCCGCTGAAGTCAAGAAATCCCCTGAATTCGAAGGAAGAGCCCAGAATAAACCTAAACAAACATGGACCGATTTTTGGCTAAAAAAAATGAATAATGCTCGGAGAGGAACATTCTTCCTTGAATTTTAAATTCTTAGAAGAAAAGGAGATTTTTAAAAATATTCCTCAAGGATGAATAAAAAGCGAAGCTCTTGTCAGTGAAGTCAATTACGTTTCTAGGACAGCAATCTCGACGCAGTGATATTGGCGAAGAATTGAGAAATTTTGTCTCACCATGTATCTCATATGTTTAAACGGCACCTTTAAAACTGCTCATTATCTTCTACTGATTTTAAAAAAATATTTTTTTAAGTACTGTTAACCAAAACCATAGCAGAGAATAATTAAAAGAAATATTTTTGTAGTGTGCGAAGAACTGGGACAGAAAACTGCTTCCAGCTTGCCCAGTGGAATGTTTCCATACGCCTTTATACCGTAATTCTGGAAGACAAATTTTCAAAAATGCGCAAACAGAACCATGTCCAGGGAGTAAACACCACATTTCTTACTTGCTGTTAGCGATTAATTTAAGGGCTTGTTAAACTGCCAAAGGGAAGGGTTTGTATGACCGAATTATGTCCAATTGCCCCCCTGCCAAAAAGCGCCCCTAGGTAGCTCCCCCCTGAAAGCCTCCTTCCCAATAGCCCCCTTATTTGTGCAACCTCAGGAATTACATGAATTCTTGTCATTATTGATGGTAAAATGCAACTTTCACCAGCGCGCGGCCCCAGCACAAGGCCAAATGATGGTACAGTATTTTTCAATAACATTGGCAAGGGGGGCTTTTGACCTAGAGGGGCTTTTGGTTGGGTACTGTATGAACCGGGTGCAGTCCAATAGCCCCCCCCCCCCTGCCAAAAGTCCCCTAGGTCAAAAAGCCCCTGCCAAAAACACCCCTTAGTGCAAAAATTAGGGATTACAGGTATTCTTGTAACTTTTGATGGTAAGCTGCACCTTTCACCAGCAGGTCCAGCACAAAGACAAGCATCAATATGCTTATAATTTGAGTATATGAAGGGATTCCTCACCTGCAGTGGTCATCTCATCAGTGATTCTCTGAATGTTAAAGCATCATCACTAGCTGACTTCTGCAAAATCTACAGTTAACCTTGTTGATCCAATGGCTGGTGCACTTCAGATCATCAAAAATCAGAATGGTGGTGAAAAGGCATGCTACAATGGCTATTTATCCACGG